GTGTGTGTGTTTGTGTTTGTGTGTGTGTTTGTGTGTATGTGTGTGCGTGTACTTACAATATGTATATCGTGCGTAGACCTAAATACATTCACTTTGCTGACATTATACAATCTCTCTTCACAATGTGCCAATACAGCCGAAGACCCTTGACCCTCCCATCGAGTACGACTGCTCGCACATAGCCCAAACGTACTGCTCCTTACTTTTGCTAGTAATACTTGGGGATGATCTTACCCGAGTGCGCCGATGGGACATACTGGAAGCCCTGAAGCAGTTGCAAAAACCTGATGGCAGGTAATTTTACCATAGTATCATCGTCCTATATATATATATATATATATATATATATTTATGCGCGATACAATATGACACTTCAAAATCGTATATAGATTATGGGGAGAAGTAGCTTACAAGAGTGGTGTACTTCATGTTTATTCCTTTATATTGACACCGATAAGATAGCACCTTCAACGATACTCTATGATCTTTCACCACCGTACAAGGCAATGATTGACAAATGTGGGTGTTTGCGACGTCTTATTTGTAATGATATGATATTTCTTCTCCACCGTACAAGGCAGTGATTGACACATATGTGGGTGTGTGTGGGTGTTTGCTACATCTTGCTTGTATTGATATGATACGCCTCTGTTACTTTGCTGCAGCTACTTCTCCACCGTACAAGGAAGTGATTGACACATATGTGGGTGTTTGCTACGTCTTGCTTGTATTGATATGATATGCCTCTATTACTTTACTGCAGCTACTTCTCCACTGTACAAGGCAGTGATTGACACATATGTGGGTGTTTGCTATGTCATGCTTGTATCGATATGATACGCCTCTATTACTTTACTGCAGCTACTTCTCCACCGTACAAGGTAGTGAGAGTGATGTACGGTTTGTGTACTGTGCCGCAGCCATCAGTCACATCCTCAACGACTGGAGGGGAATGAATCGGGACACTGCCACGCAGTATATTCTTTCAAGCATAGTAAGGACATTTTAATATTGTATATGTGTAAATGCGTATGTATGTAAAATGGGCAAATCGATATGCATGCTCGTATTCCTTAGAGTATAGTGTGATCTCACTCATGGTAAACGCCTACCTATTTGTATGTACGAGTATTAGTTTCATATGATATTTTTATATACGTATAAACATATGCAAGCTAAAGTCGAATATGCAAATGTTGCTGTGTCGAGAAATTGTCATGTATCTCATGACATCGATCAGAATGCTTCACTTCTGGCCATGTTGGAATACTTGCAGGCTTATTTAAAGACCCCCCC